GTAGTGTGTATTCATCAAACCATTTTATTAAACAATAAAGCGGATTTCCGAACGGAAATAATATTGTTTAAAATATACATAAATCCGAAATAAATTTCTAAACTTGATTTGAACGAGATTATATAGAAAACCATTCATTATTTACAAACCCATTCATTCATTCAGTGAATGATACAAGTAAAAAATTCATTTATTTAGGTAAATTAAAATACAATTTTATATATCATTAAATTGTCAATCCATTTCTACATTACCGTTTTATTTTCTTGTTAAATACTGCCTTCCTATTGCATCGCTATACAAGTTTTTGTTCATCCGCCACTAATTGCTTGGCCTCTTAAGAAACATACTACAAAACTACTTTTTACTTCACTTTATAAACTTTAATAGTGTTTTATCAAAGAAATACACTTAAAAGACCTATTTATTTCCTTTTTTTACGTATAACCTGAATTTAATTATTATTCATGTTTTAATTGTATTATATAATATTTAGTTACTCATTTGACCTATATAACAAATGTTGCCTAACTTTTACGTATTATGTGAATTGCAATGAGTTGTAATATCAATTCTCAAGGTACAACTAAAATAATGAAAGTACTTCAAGTGTTTCGTATACAAACTTTGTACCTTTTGTCAGCTTTACTTATTAGTTGTTAAGGTCAAAATAGAATAACAACAAACTATTATATGTACATACATTTAATTTTCTTTCTTTTATTATGTATTTCTTTTAATTACTGAGAATTATACTATGGTTTAGACACAAGAGGCATAAGATGTACGTTTGACAGATGAAATGACAGTGACAGTTCTTGAACAACATTTTAATTGTTTATTAAATTTACTAGCTTTCCGCCCGCAGCTTCGCCCGCGTGGAGTTCGGTTATATCGCGTTTCCAAGAGAACCTTTCAAAAGTCTGGGATAAAAACTATCCTATGTTCTTTCTCAAGGTCAACTCTATGTCTGTACTAATTTTCATTAAAATCAGTTCAGTGGTTTTACGTGAAAGCGTAACAGACAGACAGAGTTACTTTCGCATTTATAATATTAGTAGGGATAGATATAACTTTTATATTAGATACATTCTTGTTATAACAAAACTTTCGTCTTTTAAATATTATAAAATTTAATTCAAGTCTAAAGGTAACTCATTTGTACTAAATTCTTCAATAACCATTGCCCTCGTTTGGAAGCTTTTCATTTAGTTCTTTCACCCTTGACGGTCGTCAGCGAAAATGAGAAAACGTAATTCGTTACGTAAAACGTAATTTTAATTTAAACGTAACTTTATTCATAATATTGTAACGTATATATTATGTAATGTATAACTATATTTATATAGACAACAATATTATTGCCGTTTTACGACCGAACTGACGTTTAGGATGACGTTTTGCATAAAATTATTAATTTCCTATACAGTCTGTGGTAATGAGTCAAATAAATAAGAATCTATGGCAGATTTTATTGCTGCGTGTATTTAATATTTTAATTGATCAGTAATATGTAATAACAATCATTTGTAGCGACTTCAAAGGGTATTTATCTGTGGTACGTAAATAACGAAGAGGTCGGGAGGTGAGCGGCTCTTGTATGTACGTACATTATCAAAATACTGTATCTGTGGAGCAAAATATTAGATAATATGTAATCTGTATTGTATGGCAGTTGAATGAAACACATTGAAGGTATTTTATGGTGTATGAAAAGGACCGAATGTATGAACGAAAAACGTCATGCCATCCTTTGATAATAATAAATTCGGTCTTTAAAATTATTAACTTGAATTTTGAATTGTAAACTTTTATTTAATTTAATATAAGTATATACCTATATTTATTATTAGATATTGTTTAAAGTTTTGTTTTTGACTTTCTAACATCATTCAGAAGCCTGGTACTCAGATTTTGTAGGTCTACTTTAAGACAGAGTTTCATCTGAATTGATAAAATACTTTTTCATGATTAAGAATCAAATACAAGTATATGGAAACTTTCGCATAATTATATTGTAAGTAGTATATTACTTAACTATTTAATGTGTAAGAAAGTAGGTCGCTAACATATACAATCTCTTTTGTAAATTAAAAAAATGACATTTTCAATTCTATAATAATATAGTATAATAAGGGCCTATTTAATATTTTATTATTGTAAGTACGAAATAAAAGGTAATTATATCTATGAGCACTTGGAATTTTGACGTAAAGAAAAAGGTGTTATGTAAGCGTGTAAAATATGTCAAAAATTTATTATATGGGGACGATCTGTCAAATAAGAATTATGTAATTAAACAGACTGCGTATAATTTTTTACTCTTCTGTTGATGTGTCACAGAGTATACAGAAATATATTAAAAATTATCCACCAAAAAGGTTCACTTATAAATGTTTATGAACTCGGAATACTGGTTGTATGGGGGAGAATGAATTGTATGTTAATTCCAATTAAAATGTTATCCCGACTTATAAATATTTAATATATATATTGTTAACTCGACAAAACCTTTTCTTGATACCGTATTACTTGTTTAATATACAAGAAATATAAACGATTTAAAAGTACGAATCACATAAATATAAAGTGAAAAACAAATAAAATTACCTACAAGTTTTAAATCAGGTTCGCAAATCTATTTCTCATTCCATATTTATTTAATTAATCGCATCAAATCATTATTCATCATTATAAATCGTGAACAGAATAAATATTCGCGACTGTCATGGCGGCCGGGTAACCATTTTAGGTGACATGTCAAACTGACGTCTTCAAATGCGTCGCTGAACGGAAGACGCCGATTGCGATTATTATAAATTAAATCTATTTTAAATTATAAATATAATTGAATATTAATGTACTCGTAATTAGCCTGTCATTTAATTATAAAAACGAGATATACAAATTAGAGAAACTCATGAGACTTCGTTTACAGATGCAAAGTTAATCTGACAGATTTTAATATTAATGACAGGTTTGTAATTGACGAAATTTTTAATCTGTGCAATGTTTATGGAGGTTTTATTTAATATTTTATATTCATAACTTATATGCATTTGATTATTTTTTTTATTTATACTCCACAATTATATATTGTTAAAATTTAAAATATTATTAAATATATGATATCTATTTTATATGATACACCCCAGTGTTATTAGTTACTACAAAGGTATTTTAGTTGTTTTTTTGACTTTTTCTTCAACCGAGTTTCACGGCCCTTGGCGTCAGTAGTCATCTAATGCAACTGCACTTTTCTATCACAAAACAAATGGCATCGAAAGTCACAGTTAGCCTGTCAGGCGTCAAGTGGCCTGGATTCCAATGTCCAGTGGCCATTGTCTATTTAATATTGATAAACAAAGAAAATGTATACAAATAAACATTTCTAAGATTTTCACCAGATTTAATCTATGTACTTCTTATTATTGTATAACATTTTCACTAATCAGTACTTCTCGTTTCACTTTTACGTTACAATTTAATGAGTTCTATTGATTGCAAGTAAATAGTTTGTAATCTAATAATGTTAATACCAGCCATTGGTCATTTCGTAAGCCAATTCCGTTGTAAATTACACACTGTAATTATTACATTACGAGATTTGCCAGTATGCAAAATTCTTGCAATATCAATATTTTGTTTACTTATAGTTTGAATTTAATTATATGAGAGTTTGTTTGAGTGTTTATCCCTACTGATATTATAGATGCGAAAGTAATTCTATCTGTCTGTCTGTTACGCTTTCACGCCTAAACCACTGAACTGATTTTAATGATATTTGGTACAGAGATAGAGTTGACCTTGAGAAAGAACATAGGATAGTTTTTATCCCAGACTTTTGAAAGGTTCTCTTGGAAACGCGGACGAAGCTGCGGGCGGAAAGCTAGTACTATGTATATTGGAAATAATAAGATAAGATAAGCATTTATATTATTCTTTGTGCTTTGTAAACATCGCTATGTAAATCCTCGGGTGTGTTGGCTTTTGAACAAAGAGAGGAGACGAGGTAATAAATAAGTCATTCATGTGTTTAAGTAATGTAGAAAACGTAGAAATTTAATGTCAACGAACTGACAAGGATCCACAGATTATACATACATGTGATATAGAATATATCGCATTTGAATTAAAACCTCCTTGATGGATGACAGATTAAATATTAAATTCTTTATTCACAGATAATTAAATTAAATTTGCAATGCAGATGATAATTCTCTTTCTGTTTTTAATATGTAATGTATATACATTTCAAAATTTCGTAATATAACTAAATTTTGATGTTACAAGATTAGCTTTCGGTTAATGTTGAACCATAGTTAATTCGTTTGTGACACGGTTACAGTAATCGTTAAATGTAACTATCGTTTTATGTTCCTGTAACATTATTTAAGGAAATACGTAACAAAATCACGGCGATTCTCGTTAGGGTTGGAATACATTGGATGCGTTTAAATAGTGTTGTTAAGATATATATGAAGTTCATAAAATAAATTATGTCCATAGATTAATAATATGGTATATAATATAGATTAAAACACCCGTATATATCAAAACTATTTTTCTACTATTAAATTAATATCAACATTTTAGGTTCTTTTATCAAGTGGGATAAATCATATCGTTTTGTATCATTACAATAAAATAGGAAATGAACATTTTCATACCGATCATCTTTCAAATTCACGAATAATAATTAAATGTTTTTATATTAAAACTATATGTTTATTAAAACTATAATGATATGTAAGATTTAGACGTGTATTTAAATGTAAAAAAAAGTTTTATGTGTACATATTACAACGCGATTTTTATTATTTTATAACTACATAATGGAAGTGTCTTTCTTATCATCTGCCCGTGATCACGGTTGTTGCAAACCGAAACGTCGAGATTATGCAGATATAAAATTAAAAAATACGTATTAATCTAAAAAACCTTTAGCTATTAATAATATATTTTATTTTTATGTATAATTAAACTATAATTCTTTGCAGACGGTATCCGATCAGCGAGTTCCTGTTCAAGTCGAGATGCAGGCGCGTCACAGTTTAATCTGGCACCTGCTGATAGATCTGCCGATACTACTGCTGGGTGAGTAATATATATACATATATATATATACATTATACATACATACCTTTATATATCAGAGCCCACTGCTGAGTAAAGGCCTCTTCTCACATGGAGAAGGTTTGAGCATTAATCACCACGCTTGCTCAATATGAGTTAGTGATTTCAAACTTATAATTGTGTAATTATAAGTCCAGGTTTCCTCACGATGTTTTCCTTCACCGTCTGTCAGTGATGTCTAAATACTATCAGAAAGTACATATGACTCCGAAAAATCACATTGGTACTTGCCAGGTTTGAACCCGCGCCCTCGGCAACTAGAGGCGGGCCCCTTAACCACTAGGCCACCACTGACTATAATATATATATATATATATATATATATATATATATATATATATATATATATATATATTAAATTATACATAAATACCTTTATATATCATCAGCCTATCAGAGCCAATGCTGAGCAAGGCCTCTTCACATGGAGAAGGTTTGAGCATTAATCACCACGCTTGCTCAAGACGGGTTGGTGATATCAAACTTATAATTGTGAAATTAAAAGTCCACATTTCCTCAAGATGTTTTCCTTCACCGTCTGTCAGTGGTGTCTAAATACTCTTAGAGAGTAGAAGACTCATATATAAAACTTACATTATCTCGATATATCTTATTTATAATATGAATTATTTATAAAATAAAAAAATAATGTTCTCTATAGTCCATAAATATAATTCAATTAAGATAACATTTGTTTTGAATTTTTTTTACGTAAATATTTTTTTTTTATGAAAATCTATACTCCAAATTATTAGTACTGAACGCGTTAACCCACATACACCGGCCGCGTGTACCATATTGTTATTTGTTACACAAACGCAATAACAATAAATAACAAGAGTGCGCTGGAACATTTGTTATTGATTGATGGGAGATCGCTTTATTTAGATATCACTCATTTTATTAAACAAACCCATAGTTTACGACGTCTTCTAGCGGTATTTACTTAAAACATTTTTTTACGACCAACGTCAAATCCACGTCAAAGTGACAGTTATATATAGATAAAAAAAACTAATAATTCTTTGACATGCAACCTCTTTTATAGATGTCATCCTTACTAACATTATAAATGCGAAAGTAACTTTGTCTGTCTGTCTGTTACCCTTTCACGCCTAAACCACTGAACTGATTTTAATGAAATTTAGTACAGACATAGAGTTGACCTTGAGAAAGAACATAGAATAGTTTTTATCCCAGACTTTTGAAAGGTTCTCTTGGAAACCCGATATAACCGAACTCCACGCGGGCGAAGCTGCGGGCGGAAAGCTAGTAGGCTAAAATGCAAAATACATCCAATCATCTTGATCTCGTCTTCCAATACAAATGGCTTAGCATTTTACCTAAGTAAATACATAATACATTGTTTGTTCTGTCATTATGTAAATAAGTTTTATATGTATTTAGTATCTATAGCCCCTGTAACTTTATATGTAGTTTTTGTCAGGCAATAAGCGGTTTCAGTTAACGCTACGTCGCTTCTATGTTTGACTGGCTTGTTTGTTGACCAAAGTGGTACAGATAATACTTTTAACTGTTCAAGCCACTGGTTTAACTGAGGTATATTGATATATTGATGATCATATAACTATAGTGTTAACTGAAGATATACATTGTATTTTTCATAAACATATATCGTTTTTATATTAAGGTATTTTAAAGCTTTTATTATGTGGATGATTTTTGTCCATCTATCGCATGTCACATTAAAGTCATAGTCACAGTGATTCTTTTTATCGAAATGAATAAAAGTTGAATAAAACTGCTATAAACTTTATATAAGTATTCTCAATTAAAATATTACGAATTTATAACAGCTAAAAAATTTAGAAAATGGTTTAACCGAATGTTTTTCTATATTTATTTCTTTCAGTTTTTTTTGTTGTGAAATGTAAATTAAAACTGTTTTGGTAAAATAAAAAAAAACTTATAAGTACATATGCCTACTATATTATATATTAAATAATATAAAACTTATCAAACATTTATATAAGGTTATACATATATTTATCAATATATTAACACTCTGTGGTGGTGAGGCCGTCGTTGGTGGTCGTAATACGAGAATGTCACGTCATCGAGTTGACCACAAAAATGTTTAACTGGGGTCTTAACGCGGTTCAAATGTGTTCATAATAGATAAATACACACAATATATATCGAGTTTCAAGACAAAAGAATAAGTATTATAAAATAAATTAACCATTATTATTATATAATAAAAACATTTCTATTAATTTATTTTTATTTTTATTTAATGCGACATATGGCTGTATGTTTTATGCATTTGACTAGAAATTAAAAAAAATGCTTTGACATATGCTTCGTTACTGTCATAAATTTGTCTGTCTTTCTAGATAAATCAAGATTTTACAATATATAAACTATTATTATATAAATTTTCTCTTAATTTAGTTTTATTGTTATTTAAACAAGTTTGGATGAATATTTTATACGTTCAACAAAAATTACAAAAAAATTATATATTCATAATTGCCATGAGACTTACGTGTTTCTAAATATTTTTTTTTTTAAAATCATATCTTCATTCACTTTTTAATCGTGTAATATTATGCCAATGTCTACTTTTTTATTTAATGAACGTATTATTGTTTTGAATATGATATAAAGAAAACAGGAAAGAGTTTATCAAATGGAATAATAGATTTTTTTACCAGGTTTTTGTATTCAAATATCTCTTGTCGACCGTGTTGACCGTGAGGGCGGTGTCATCTTACATGTGACACGAGTGACACCGCCTTGTTGACATTCGCTGACACTGTTGACACTGTCACGATATTTACAGTGATATAATATTAAATATAGTTATTTTTCTTTTTAATTTGAATGAGCGCTTTTATTCTTAATATTTGATAGAAAATACCACCCAAATTTTATTCAGATTTAAGTCATAACAAAAAAATTAACAGAATCAATATGTTATATATAAATAGTAAATACGAAGATATAATTATATTTATTAATACATATATGAAATCTTTATTATATTATAGACCATAATTGTCAAGTATTTATGTAATCTTCGGAAGTATTAAAAGCACAATACATCATATAAAACCTTTTTACTGATTAAACAAAAGCGTTTATAATTCATATCTGTCAAATGCTCACATTTGACATTTAAAATTAGGGCAACCGTTTAAAAACGAATCTATAGTAATGTAACACTTTCTATGTGATAATGTAAATCAATTATTAATATAAATATTTGTCTTTTTTTACATTTTTAAACGTCTGACAGTTGTTCAACTATCGGGTGACATGTCTTGAACTTTGGACGTGGAATGAAAACATATCGGATTCAGTGTAATATAAAACAAAACATTAAACAAATTACTGTCAATATTAACTTAGTTTTAATAAAATTTAATTAGTTTTAAAATTGAGATTAAGACTTTACCAATATATATATATATATATATATATATATATATATATATATATATATATATATATATATATATATAAAAGATTATATAACAATAAATTATTAAATTAAAATGTTGACATTGGCATAATATTACACGATAAAAAAAGTGAAAAACTGACTCATTCTGCCCAAACAATGCTTACTCAAAGTTTTCATTCATAAATTGGTGTAAACCAAAGTTATTTATTTACTTACAAACGGTAAACTCTACGTATTTAGTATAAAACATGTGCTAAGTATTCTCATTCAGATGACATTCAAAGTAATGTTTATAAACATCGATGTAATCCGATTAATAATTAATCATTCGTATTATCCGATGACTATCGATTCTGGAATCCTTATACCGCGCGGGAATTTAAAAACAAAATGTGTCATATGAAAATGACAACTGTGCTATTTTTATTTTAAGGCTTCAATTGCATTGGATATTTCATTATAATTGTATTGTCTTTAATATGTAGATAAAAACGTTGATATTATCTAACTATTCCACGATACCAGTGTGAATGAAGCCTATTAAAGTTTTTGAAGAATCAAAGGAGGTTGAGAATTTATAACTCTATGGTATTATTGTGCTTTATCTATTCCAGTATTCAGTGTGTGCAGTAAAAACAAAAGAAATAAAAATGTATTATATAGAAAGTTTAACAAAACGAGAGCAAACGTTTGATCATAAAAAGGTAAAGGGAGTTTAATCTTAAAAGATAAGAGAATACTTGGAAGATATAATCTGAAAATTCCGTAGAACTAAGCTCCAGGCTACACCGCAAAGGTTTTATAACCGTGGAATTTTGCATCACTTGAGATATTATCTACTAGCTTTCCGCCCGCAGCTTCGCCCGCGTGGAGTTCGGTTATATCGCGTTTCCAAGAGAACCTTTCAAAAGTCTGGGATAAAAACTATCCTATGTTATTTCTCAAGGTCAACTCTATGTCTGTACCAAATTTCATTAAAATCAGTTCTGTGGTTAAGCCGTGAAAGCGTAACAGACAGACAAGCAGACAGAGTTACTTTCGCATTTATAATATTAGTATTGATAGTCACAATCATTATCTGTATTTTTATATTCATACTTTTAATGCAATCTTCGATTATTTAAAAACTACCGTTGGCTAATTTCTCTAAATTTTGCCGGCATTACACAGACACGTACTTAAATCACTTCCTGTCGCCAAAATCTTAATTCGTAAGCCATTTCCCGTCGTTGGCATTGTTTAAACACAGTTAAATGGCGGATAGCGTTTAAAAAGACAGTGGTTAATTTGTAACCGATTTTAAAGATATTTTTATTCGATCGGTGTGTTTTTTGATTTTTCTCACAAGCAATTTTGATTTCGATACGAAAATAACGATTTTTTTGATAATATTTACATTCATATTGATTACTTTCATCTTTTGCATAAACACGATTTTTCTATATATTTACTCATCTAAATGAAAACATAAAACTGTTGACTTTTTCTGTTTCGAAAAAAAAAACATTTCATCGCTGTGCTAAACAATAATCAAAATATGAATTATGATTTGTTCTAAAAAAACATAATTAACCAACTTCAAAAAACAAAATTTTCAATAATATTAGAAAAAAAAGTGGAATACAATATTTATAACTAAAGAAATATATTATATCATATAAGTCAAAAAATCTTATCAGATTTCATACACACATAATTATTATTGTTATTATTGTATACAGATAAAAAATATTTTTATAATCTTTTTTTTTCATACAAATATCTAAGCACATATTTGTTGTATCTGATCTTATAAACGCGAGTATTCATATTTCTTAATTCGCTAATTGCTCATAGCGGAATGCACTATACCAGTATAATCTAAGTTTTTTATAGTTTCTATCTCTTATTTATATCGACATAAGGTATAAAATCCAATGGCAGTAACTTAAAATCAACGCATTCCGAATAGGGTCATGCAACACGCTAATTCAATGAAAACCTGCGACAATGGTTTTACTAATTCATACAATAATAACCATTATACCATTGCAATAAAGGTCAATATGGCTTGTATTGTAATCCGTTTTATTCACACGAATTATTGTTTGTACTGTACATAACTTGGCGTATTCGTCAAAAAGGTGTCTGTCAGAAAGAATCAATCTTTGTTTTATGGCGACTTCAAATAATGTTATTGCCTTTCCAATAACCAGTACATTGTATTTTCTACGTACATTTGTTAATGAAACAGTAAGTGACAATTTCCGATTTAAAGACGAAATTATCGATTAGTAGCGTGAACGGAGCGTGGAATCGATTTACATTGATTGTTCGAGACCAGTTTGAAAAATTACAATAACCATACATCATAATAATATTATTTCTTACTGTTATAATTAATTTGATTTTCAATTATTTTTTGATTTATCATTCTACGGTTTAGAATACATATATTACTACGGATTATCTTCTTCTATCTGGCAATTTCCCAGCTTTAGCCAGGGTCTGCCTTACGTGTTGTGAATAGTTTTGGCTAATTGTTTTACGACCGGCCGCCTGCCTGACATCAACCCTATTTTTTTAGGAATCAGATTAATCAGTGATGTGTAAATAATCTTAGAAAGTACATATGATTCGGAAAAATCACATTGGTACTTGCCCGGGCGAGGATGGAACCCGCGCCCTCTTGCATGAGAGGCGAGCCTTTTAACCACTAGGCCACCATTGACTTACTACAGATTATATTAAAAAAAATTAAATAGGAAAATCGATCCTGCATGATTTATACAGCCGTATTACCAAATTGCAGTTCTATTAAAACCTCTTTGATGTTTATTACCCTAAGGCCTAAATTACTCGATCATCTAACAAATGCCGATCTAACTAATTAATAGTTCCTTTAGACCTATATTCTCTGGTCTAGACCAGTCTGTTATCGGTTATCGGTCCTTATAAGTCTACATTATTCCTTAACCTATTTTTGCTTCTTTTTATCTGTTATGCCACAAGAGATGTCAAACAAGTTAAAAAAATAATGTCAATTTACGTAACATCCGTTACATGACAACTAATTAACTTAAAACCAAATTAATTGAATTATATAATTTCACTTATATGGGAAATTTTGAAATAGAAGGTTTACATATAGATTGGATAAGACTTTCGTTAAAAATTGATAAAGTATTTGTATGGTTCAAATGTTGTGGAATTTGCGAAGATTATTTGAAGAGTTTTTGTCTGTAGATTACCCATACTATTAAATGAAACTAATATTTTCGGATTTACTACGCGTTTTTTTTTGTTGGCAATTTTCAATCCGTACTGGTTCACATAATGAGATCTAAGATTTTCGCGAGTAAATAAAAATCGCGTAGTAAATCCGAAAATATTAGTTTCATTTAAATAAGGACTCGCTAAATCTTAGATCTCATTACCTATACTATTGTTAAGACTTGGAGTATAACTTCTCGAATCAAGCAGGTATCATCTCTGATAATCTTTAGAGGGGTATATTTAAGTCGTTTTTCCCAGTATTTGAATGTTATCTCCCCCACTATTGAGACTCACTATTCTACATTGTCTGACTTCTACAGGTTAAATCTCCATTCAGATCATATATAAATAGTTCAATGCAATCTATCTGAGAATTATATGTAGCTTGTGTATTTTTTAACCTTTTTAGGTTTAATAAAATATGTTTTTAGATTGACAATCATCTTCAAACAATCTATTATGGGTTGAAAATTCAAACACAAATATGATGTAAAAGATAAAATTAATATTTGACACCTAAATACAAAAAGTCTTCTCATTTTCTATAGTCCAAAATAAAAATATTCTTTTTTTATCACTAGTTTTCACAAACATAATATTTCATAGCTATTTCTGTGAACGCGACCAAAAAGGTTTACCGGTTAATTTGAATGAAACGTCAATAAAATAATAATTTGGAATGCATCCAAATAACTCGGTTAGCGGCGACCGGGCCATCAATGAACCTTTGATCTGGTCGCCATAAATTTTGGGACTTATCTACGAATTGATATTTCCAAGTCTCTTCTTAATAAAAACAATAATTTGTGTCTGTATTCCACTTAACACTTAACGTAAGGCCGGTGGAGTAGTGATAGCTATACTATTGCTAGTCTATGCTATAATTTTAACATCTGGCTTTACCTACTAGTTCAATATAATTTACAATATTGCAAACGTACCACGTTCATACAATTCAATTTAAATAAGGTTTATGTTTTTTACGTGATGGAATTCTTAAACAGATATTATTGGATTATATTATAAAATATTAAGTTTGGATTATAAATTAATTTAATATTAATATAGTAATATAAAATTTAAATTATATATGAATAACTAATAAAGATAGTAGGTAAGTTCGCCTACGTTTTTTAGCCAGAAGCTTTCACCTCCAAATTGGTCAAAATTATCATTGGTGGTCGTCAAATTAACAAAAGCCAGTCGAATTGTCACAGACAGACAGACATCCGGTCTAGTTAAAATATATAAATGTGGGGTCATTTATTAAAAGAAATTAAACATTTTAAGAACTTCATCATATATGGAAGAAATTGCGAACTATTTGGGTCACGTAATTTTGATCATTGTTAATTTACGAAAGAAAGTTTTTGTAATATTGTATGTAGGAAATTGTCAATATATTGCTTATATATTTTATATAAAATCCTCTTTTAACACGTCGATTTCTAAGCCTTTTAAATATTTCATCCAGAAAATTCTGATAAAAACTAGCATGCATCCACTATAGTTTTATTTCAATACTAAATGCATTTGATGGAAAACTTATAGGATTGCATGTCTAATATTATTATACAAAATATAATCTAATATTTAAAATTCATAACAGATACAATATTAAAATCTCAAAGCTATCAATCCTCCATGGAGTTTGAAGACAGAAACTGACCTTTTAACAGGTTGGTAGTTAAATTCAATTTGTTTTTGTATCATTAGAAGTCGCAACTTTCAAATCAACTAATTAGTTGAAAGCGTGCTCAAACACGTAATATTGGTTGTGTTATAATAATCAATTAAACATAAATTTGTGTCATACTTTTTGGTTTTTATATATATGTATGTAAAAATATAAAATATGTATATAAATTTTCTTGTCAAATATTTTGTCACCAGTTTGTTTTACTCACTATCAAGTTAACACAAAACAAAACGATTTTTAATGACGGTAATAATTACTGATGTTAACGACGTTTATCTAAAAATATGAAAAAACTTAATTTTTTACAACATTAACCCTCTTTTGATTATCGTTAATATGTTTTAAATAACCGGTAGAAATATCTAGAAACATTTTCCGCTCTAAAATACGCACAAACGAAAATTTTAAATGAAATTGATTAGAAAGTGTACTTATTGTCAAATATGTAATATAACCTATATTTTATTTCTATTAGCAATCCACATCAAAACTTCTGTTTATTATAAATTTTCCATTTTATGTATTTCTACCATGAAATTCCAAATACGTCTCGCAATTTATTTCCAATAGCATAAAATAATTGTATTATTATTATAATAAAAATATATTATAAAACTATTCAATGTTATGTCAGTATCAAACGTTCTTTATTTTACGTCGTTCTGATTTTGACATATGATAATGGAACATTCTAGAATGTTCTAGACTAATGTTCTAGCGATGTATAATATAATGTAATTTATATATTGTTTCAGTGGCAGCAGTATGTATACTCCTGGAGGTTGGAGCCATTCCCAGCAGACGGAGCGGCTTCAGATGCAATGACCCCGACCTCTCATTCCCTCACACGGGAGACACTCTCTCCATATCTTTGATAGCAGCCATTACAATCATTGTACCATACCTTATAGTGAGTTTTTTTTTTAATTTTATTCTTAATGGCAAATGTATTCTGCCAGTGTCTTTTATAATGATCGAAACCAAAGAGGTTGAATATAATATTTTATTTAAGTATGACATGTTGATTTACAATTTGACATTAACGTTGAAGTGACATTTTCTTAGCTCATATCACAGCTACCTGTTCGCATTGACAGGATGTTTTTCGCGCTTGTTAATTATTCAAACAAATGTATTTGCGTTTGAAACCAAATATAAAAGAGGATATTTGCAGCGAAATATGTTAATGTCAAATGATGGCTAAAAAAAATAAACCTTTGTTACAACAAATATACATACAAGGTTCTTTAAATAAAGTTATAATTAAGATACGAAAAAATATTAATACATATAAAATTTACTATTAAAATTCATATTACACAATACAGTATTATTCAATCATTGCAACACTTAAATCATTATCCCATTACAGATATGGGCGGTTGAGTCGACGCTTCAGTTAGACGACGAATACACAATCAAGCAAAACAAGCTGCTGACAAGCGCTAAAACCGCTGGATTCATCTACCGGGATTATATATACGCGGCTATTGTAAATCTTACTGTCTTGGAAGTTGTTAAATGTGTCGTTGGATCACCTAGACCGACCTTCTTTGATTTATGCAAGCCAGATACAGCGAGAACATGTAATGGGTAAGTTAACACGTTAATAAAAACAGTTAATAATAGTAAACTCTATAAATACAACATAAAAAAAGAAAAGTATATAAATAAAAAAATATATATGAATTCGATATTTAAACTAGACTTGTTTATATGTTATCTGTGAATTTGATGGTGTCAGATCATAGATTATTTACTAATTAACATAGATAATGAAAATGTAACAATAGACAATATTTTTTTGCAAATAACCATCTGTGGATATTTTTGATGTTATTAAACATAGATAATGAAGAAATGTAACAATAGACAATATTATTAATAATATATTTTTTATGATCAAACAGTTCGGACTACGTAAGCAGTTACACGTGTACATCAACCCGTTACTCCCGCTACCTCCAGATAGATTCGAGCCGGAGTTTCCCATCAGCGCACACGTCTCTGTCAGTCTACTGCGGTCTTTTCTTGGCTGTAAGTTGCTTAATTATATCTGAGACTTTTTCTTATGTGAAAAGACCACCTTCTAGTTTGCCAAAAATTGCAGACTGCCCACTTGATGGAAGGTGGTTACTGTCCCTCATGGATATCGGCAACATCTTTGTTGCGGAAGCGTTGCCATCCTTGTATTTTTTAGGAATAGGGAGGGGTAAGAATAGGGAAATGGTAGGAAAGGGTGGAATAGGGAAAGGGCAACCGGCACTCTCACTCATCGTACGAAACGCAGTCATAAAAGTCTACTTGACGCCGATCTTCTGTGAGAGGGTGGTCGAGCCATCCCATGTTCGAGCTATAGTAACTGATCACAGCTAGGCTCTACCACGTAAAAAGTATTACGCGAGTATTCATTTAAATAAAACTAATACTACGAGTATTTTATTATTTTAAAACTACATACTCAGGACGTTTCGGTTACTTTTCAACAACCGTGATCACGGGTTATGTGAGTGATCAAATTTGATTTGCTTATTACATATTACAAGCTATTTCCACTTAAATTTTGTTATATCGTGGCTTATTACGTTCTTGTTATAAGTTATGTCACTATTTTGACCCTTTTTGTTATTGCCAGCTAACCAATTGTTCATTCAGCAGCAGGTTTACATAATCTGATAATAATTGGCTGACTGACTGAACTTCGCACTGCAATTACAGTTTTTCTCCCCCATACGTTTACGTTTATAAATAATTTCGAACACGTAACTCATAATGACTTGTTTATTGTTATTGTTTTATATTTTAATATCAATTTGGAAACAATTTTCTTCTTATATATTCGATTCGTAAGCAATTCCTTATATTATTTGAGATGTTTAAACATAGACCTATTCCTAATGTCTATCTCAATTATTTCTATTTAATAGTATTTTCTACCCAATTGCCTCTGAATAAGATCTCATACTGTAATTAGTTTTATGAAGAGTACTTCAGAAGCACTTACTTTTTGTATAAAATATTGATAATGAACTAAAAGTACAAACAATTATTTCATTAATAATTCAAAGTATTCACAGTATTCGTCGTTTCAGTCATTTTAATTGATATTATTTAACAAAGATTTAGCTTGTGAACCAAAAAAAAGTTTACGAGTACCTGCTAGCTTGTTGTGTCTCCAAGAAATATTGTTTCTTATTCATTAATACCTATACCGTCCTACTCATTTAGGGACCAATAAAATGGTCGTACACACTTCCCGTAATGGAAGTCTAAATATACATTTCTAATTGAGTTATGAGGCCATAATTAACTGCTGGAGGGGATCTCGGTTAATGCCTACAAGTAATTTGATTATTATCTCCCCTATACAATAGGCAGCAGAAAACAATGATTAGTTGAGCCTGTTCTGATAGATGCACATGGAATTTTCGAGGTTTTGACACCAAGGGAGGGAAAATATCGGGTCTACAATATCCTTTATATTGAAATTAAGGACTTGTTTTCAGACTCATAATAAAAATACATAGACATCTCGTCTAAAAGAATTACACGCTTCGGAGTTGTATAGAAAACGTTACTTATTTTATGCCAAGTTTGATTGATATTCGTTCAACCATTTCGACGTCGTTAAATAACAAACCATGGAAGAATTTTTATATGAACTTCGCCGTGAATAAAAGTAGTAAGATAATAACGTGTGATTTCTTTAAACTGTACTTAAATAAAAAACTTTATCTCATTAAATACTACAGACAAATTTATGCCCAACCTAAGTTTTATTGTGGGTGCTGATATCAAATCCTATTTCAGTGGTACCTTCAACGTCGAGCCTTCAGTTGGCACAGTCGGTCTGTGCTGGTGGTGCCGCTGCTGCAGGTTCTGTGCATCATCTACTCTGTGACCTGCCCATTGACGAGGATCACGGACCACAGACATCACTGGTGGGATGTACTGGCTGGTGCATTCATGGGGATCGCTACTGTCATATATACAGTACGTACACTTAGTAAACTACATAGTTCTAATTATATTATCCGGTTTCCTTATTATGGGATCAAATTTCGACCATCATTTAGTTTTTTGCATGATAGTCCATATAGTATCACATTAGTCATTACATCTGATTTTACAGTAATCATCATATTCTGTACTATAAGAAAGTGTCATTTATACAGTACGTATACTCAGTAAACGACATAGTTCTAACCATATTACCCTTTATACAGTACGTACATTTAGTAAACGACATAGTTCTGACCATATTAGCCGTCTTACTTACTATGGGATCAAATGTTGACTATTCATTTAAATTTTTGCGTGATAGTCCATATATCATATTACCTCAGATATTGAATTTATCATGATCTGTACTATTAGAAAGTAATAGTCTTTTCTGTTCTTCAGGTATTAGTGCTATGCAAGAACTTCTCCCACCCTGAAGTGGTGAGCACCAGTGACATTTCCAGCAGTGATGGTAATAACCACCAGTCTGTACGAAGACTGCTGGCCAGCGGACCGCGAGGAGTGGTGCCCTAGCCCGCCGCCGTTTAAAGCAACCAAATTGGCTGGCCAGCAAAAAACACTGAACCGCTCTTTCGATTCCTAAGGAAATATTCGTGAAAGGAGAATTGAATTCACTACAAGCCTATAGCAACAGAAAATTACGCTATTCTAAATGAGAGTATAAGTCATTGACTTTGTAAGAAAAAAGTTAACCTATGAGACTTCAAATTTTGGTTTTACAAGGACATGTGAGGAAGGAAAAATCATTTCAGTTCTCATGAAGAATAATAGAAGTGTTTGTGGTGCAATGTTTTAATGGAAGCACCTTCAAATTGAGCTGGCCAGCACATGAAGTACTAGGGTTGCAGATAAAAGCTGAAGGCTTTACCATTTGCTAATGTGACCAAGTTGAAGTGAATCGAACTAATAATAGTTACTTTCATAAAGTGTACTATTTGCTAGTGATATATGAACTTTATGATTAATTATAATAAGGTTTAAATTTAAATATGAATTAACGTGATTGTTTGAAATTATTTTGCTTGTGGATGTGTACCGAGAGTTGAATGTAGTTGTTAGATGCATTTGCTCATTTGCTCATATATAATTTATTATATTTAAATATATAATAGATAAGTGCAGTATATGTAGATGGTTAAAGTATTCAATATTTTAGGACGAATAAAAAAACATCATCCTATTTATAAAAAAAAAACAATTTTAAGAATGGCAACATTAATAGTAATTTTTTGATTAAAATAATTGCAGTATATCTATTGACTTCATTGTAGGGTTAGTATTGAATTAATTCCAACTTCGCTAAATCTTATTATGAAGTATCAAATCTATTAATATTTACATACATATTAAGTATTTAATTAATACATTCTATGTGTGTTTAAATTGTGTCATTATAAGATGTACCAGTGTCACTGTAATTATTGATGTAAAATTTTAATCAATACACGTACTAAGTATATTGACAGCCATAAAAAGGAACTCGTATGACTTAGTTTTTAGCATATATAATATTTATTTCTTACCAACGATAGTATTTATATTTAGTACCTGTCTAGTCGTAAGATATTAAGAGATTTTTTTTTATATTTTCATATTAGTAACTTAATATACCCACCTTAATTTAATCTGTTGACAAATAAAATAAGTTTGAAATTACATTTTCTTACATACCTGTAATAAAATTAAAGTATATTAGTGTTGTAATTAAATGAAAGTTTTGACACCTTGTAAATGCAGACACATTCCCCGTCATAGTTTTTTGCTTTGTAAATATAAATTTATTAAATATAATATATAATAAATTTTAAAATAAATCTCTAGAATAATCTGTGGTTTTATTTATCTGTATATACTTTTTCTTATATTTTTTTTCACATTTTAAATACATACATGTTTGAAGTGGTATTTTAGTTATGTAAATATATACCACTTACGAATATAAATTATATTAATATATACATATGTATATGTTTTACAATTTTTTAGTTTTACAATTTCGGCCTCCAATGACAACTTTAGATTTTTTATATAATTCTATGAAAAATTGTTTTCTTCTTTATAATAATTATATGTCATCTTAAATTACGCTGCCAGTATACTGGCCAGTATATTTGTTTCCAAAAAGGTTATTTAATTTTTATATTAAATTGGTTGCTACATGTTCAATATTGTGTGCAATAGTTGTGTGTGTAAGTAATAAATGTGTAAAATATGTGACATTCACCACTCGGAGTTAGTTTAAATGAAATATATTGATATTTGTGGTTAACAGAATAAGTCTTAACGGAAACCGTCTTGAATACTGAGGTTTTGAATAAAAGAAATGAAAGGTTACATCAATATTTACTAATAAGAATTTAATACAAAAAAAAACGATAATTATATTAAAAACCACAATTATATGCTAAATATTTGCAGAAAGAAATTCTAAAAAAACTAGTTCATTTAAATGAACATGATATTAATTAAATGAAACTTATATGTACATTCGTTGCATTTCACAATTTATATGTCAATAAAGTTTATAGTCAGATCTATTTGTGGAACCTGTAGTACGTGGGTTCACTTTAGATTTAACAGTTCAAGAACAATAGCTAGTCAATAGTGCGTTCGTATCGCCAATTATTTACGTAACAAAAACCACAAAACTTACAGTTTCGTAGTTTTCCACTCGGAGAACTCGTCAATTTGATGGTTTCATGTGAGTGAAATGAAAAAACTTGCAACTATTCCTATATTTAAGAGATTATCGTCACTTCAATAGTAATTTTTGATGAGAAACTATTCAAAACAACCTATTTTCTGCAAACTCAGAACATTCCAGAAGAATCTGCAAGTCCTGACCGTATGTTAAATATATTTTTCTTTAAATTTAAGTCCTCTACCAGATTATTCTTCTAAGAATCCTTCAGATCAAACACAAACTATTATAAATTATAATATAGAAAAGTTATTATCTTTTCTATATATTTTAAGTATCATTCAAGTATTATTCAGTGTTTGATGACAAAATAATTATACGGACGCAGTGAGTTCTTGTGGACTTCATCACATTTAATTTCTTGTGAAATTCTTGACGTTCAGAATATATGTATTAAAAGACTTATACGAATCAAATTACTAATATAAGTACATACTATAATATATGCAACTATATTTTAATACAAATTCTATTAATATTTCAATTTTGTTCGTTGATTTTATCAGTATCAACAAATCTTAAACTATTTGGTACTTTCTGGACCTAATTCTAGTTATAATAAATATTTTTGTCTTGAGTATCTTTACCATGTCTGATCAAATTACATCTCAGCTTGACTATTAAAATATACTTGATTAATTCCTTATTTCCTCAAACAGATGCTCAATACTATTCTTATAGACAAAATAAGCTGGCTCATAATCTTCAATATGACGGCATAATTTTAATCTTTCATTTAATGGTACATAATGGATATTGTGAAAGAAGATTATAGAATCTAGAATACATGACACAATATAAAGATTAAATACATTTTCTGGACACATAATAATTAGTTTACGTAATATTTAGTTTCCGTAATAAAATTTATGTTATTGAAAAATTTTTTCTTTATTTCTTATTAACTTCTCTATAGAATAAATCCTCCATGTTTATATTTTTATCCATCTTGAATATTCAAACAGTATTAGTACAACAGATATAGGTAATAAAAACTAAAATAGGTATCGCAATAGCAATTCTTATAAGAAAACAGTCTTGAAATAAAAGAATCGAAGATACTTTCACACTCGCTGTACGCCGAGCAATAAATTACACATAAGATCAGGTACACACGCGATCAAAATATTTGCTATTATTGAAAATATTAACAGATTCTGTTCTTATTTTCTACTATCAGTTAAACTAAGACATATTATACATTTCATATATATGTATATATTTTATTTACTGATAAATATATAGGATAGTCGTAGGTAATACCTATTTTGCAAGTTCGTGTATTGCGTGTAACATAGCTTTACTGTACATAGCTTAACAATTCAAGTCTTTTTGTTAGAATAGTGTGGAATAAAGAAATAGAATATGAAAAAGAAATAGAATATCATTACCACAAGTCACCACGGTATTTCAGGTGCGAAGATTTATCAATGAATAAGTATAAAGATGCAAATTATTGGTAAACTACATATAATCTATACTACATATATATATATATATATCGGATTTATTAGAGATTCGTTGGTTTTAAAGAGAGGGACGCCAGCCTCGCTGAGGTTACAAATGTCACTTCTTCTAGAGCGTTGCATGATATTTTAAAATGAAACTGCAATTGTTCTTAATGCTCCTGTATTTCTAGAAGGATTTCCTCACAATTACATACTTCAATGATACACACTCACTGAACTCTGAACTACCAATGCTGAATTCTCAATTCTGGAGTCCGCCGTCGTGGATCCAGACGTCATATTTTTGATTCAAACATAATTCTATTCTCTTTTGATTTCGTTTTACTTTTAACAATAATCATAAATACTAATGAGGTTTAATAAGAATTGATGGCAGCCTCTAATTATTTTCAAGTCGCATCCGTTATTAAAGCTGGTAGCGCCGATACGGCCATTCTGACAGGCGGTGCGTACTCTGCACCTGCCTGGTTATGTGTTCTCTCTTGGTTGGTTTTCGTTATGTGCTTGGACCAGTCGCGCGTCTCGTAAAGTAGATGGGACAGGATCAAGAATTGATGCTTCATCTTCCGAAGTCATGCCGATACGGTCATACTGATGTTTGCTCTGTGATAAAAGATAAATGCTTTTGTAGTCTAGGTACTTCCACAGTAACCCTAGATAACTTTATATTGTTACAATTATGAATATCAAAATTATTATTTTTTTTTGATCGTATGGGTAACGTTGTTTACTACAACACAACTTTGAGATGGTCATAATATCACGTCCAATTATCTAAGCTACATGGCTTTGGGGGCATCACACGAACATTCATAACATATTTGTCATAGGACGTCTCCGCCCGCCTACAACATTTTTTTTTTATTTATTTGTCATAGGACGTCTCCGCCCGCCTACAACATTTTGTTTTTATTTATTTGTCGTAAGACGTCTCCACCCGTCTACAACAATTTTATTTTATTAACCATTTTATTATTATTATTATTTTGTTATGGTTCGGATCCGCCATCAAAGGCATCTTTTATAGTAATAATAATAATTTAATAATTTTATAGTAATATATCTCAAAGTAAGTGTTTCAAAATCACACTTCTATCTACGAAATATGTAATGCGTTTGAAATGAAGTAAATTGAACAAAATGAAATACGCTCACCGGATAACTATTAGGTAGTAGTATTATATATTAGTAGTTCCTCGGTTTCTATTCACTTTTTCTGTGATATTTTTTATACAAAATCTCCATTCTGGAATTATTTAAATTTTAGCTCGAAATCTTTTAAATCCAACTTTATATATACTTTCCGCCTCGACCATCCTGTTTTAAATGTGTTGCTTCGATAT